AAATCAACCATCAGCTTGCGAAGCCACAAAGCCTCGCGAACAGCTGCTGCTGTCGCTTGATACTCGGCCTCCACCGACGAAGCCGCCACAGTACGTTGAAGTTGGCTGCTGCAGCTAATCGCAGCCCCATTAAGAGTGAAAACGTAGCCGGACGTAGAACGCCGCGTAACTGGGTCTCCTGCCCAGTCCGAATCACTGTACCCGGACATAGCAACGTCGCCAACACCCCCAAAACGCAATCCTAGTTCGCGAGTCCCCGCCAGGTAACGCAGAACGCCGATTGCTAAGTTCATGGCAGTCTTCGTAGGTGTGGCCATATGCCGGGACAAAACGCTCAATGCATATGAAATGTCAGGCCGCGTGTTCGGCGCCAGATAGTTCAATTCTCCCACCAAAGCCCTATACTGGGTGGGATTGCCCAGCAGCTCCTCTCCGTCCCCCTTAGGAGTGTACCTAAAGCCCGGAGGCAAAGGAGTAGACCTCGGCTTGGCATCAACCATCCTATGACGCTCCAACAGCTGCGCAATATACCTATGCTGCGACAACACTATCTCACCCGACTTCTCCCTCCTAATTTCCATGCCCCAAAACACCTTCGCTTCTCTGTCGCGCACCTTGAAGACCTTCGCAATTGCGGCTTTAATTGCCCGGACCATTTCCGGGTCTTCCGACGCAACAATAGTGTCATCTACGTGTACCAAAGCAATAACAACCCCACGCTCGTCAGTCTTAACGAACATCGCCGGATCAGACTTCGAAGGATAAAGACCCAGCTTGGCGAACTCTGCTGATAGCTTTTCATACCAGCAACGGGGTGCCTGCTTTAAACCGTAAATAGACTTCTGCAGCTTGCACGCAAGCGACCGGTCACTGGATGCATACCCAGGCGGTTGCTCCATCCACAACTCCTCCTTCAGCTCACCATTCAGGAACGCAGTAGACACGTCTAGCTGATGCACCGTCATGTTCCGCGCTGCGGCAACTGCTAATAAAGCACGTAATGACGAACCACGAGAGGTGGGGTCAAACAACTCCCCATAATCAATCCCCTCGCGTTGCTCGAAACCCTTGGCAACTAAACGCGCCTTAAAACGCTCCACGCTGCCGTCATCATTGTACTTAACCTTATATACCCAACTACACAACAAACGAGTACCAGGA